TGTTGACTGAAGTTGAAAGTTTTAATAATATTTTAAAATTTTATTTGACTTATGGTCGCATATAAGAAGTATCCATGGGCGTGGGTGTATGTGTTTAATTCTAAGTTGGTCTTCTCTTTGATTCACAGTAATATCGGAACACTAACTTTCCCAGTACAGGCCTTTTAGCCCGCTGATTACAAAAGTTACCGATGTCCTGTTGGTGAATCTTCCTTCTTGTGTGTCCGCCTTACAAGATTCTCTTGGCTCGAAGAGGATGCTCTTTTTATTGTATTTTCCGTTTTTCTTTCCTCGAGACTCATTCGATATGCTGAGAATCTTCCATTTCTCATTGTTTCCCATATGCCTGCTCTTGCAAACACTCAATATGATTGGTTATTGTGATGCACTTATTTTTTTCTCTGAAAGTATAACAGGTCTTTTTTTGAGTTCATTCTGAGAGCAAATAAAAAGACAAAGCCTATTATAGTAAGACAATCTCTCGAAAAAATATACTTTCATGGAAGAGTAGAACGTTGCATTAGATTCGATTGCTTTGGTTATTATAATCACTTTTTCTACTAAACTGCTCGTAAGCAACCACATTGGTGACAGTTGTTTTCGCAAAAGATTTGCTTTAATGCAATGAAAGCTTGTGCAATCTGCTTAAAATGAAACTCAAGCGGATATATTTTGGATGAAAATAACTGGTAGCTCTTCTACCCAGTAGGGTTGGCTGTGGGTGTGGATGTCGGTAGAAAGAACACCCACACCCTTCAATGCAGAAAAGCATTACTATGATAATTTATTGTAAATTTATTTATTCTTTTATATTCTGGAAAACGAAACTAAAGAGAACGAATGCTAAACTTGTAAACAAAGAAACACGATATGGTTATTTCTTTAGTCTATTTATGTATATTCTAGTCAAGGATATATTTTCAAATGATATGTCATGCATCATGTTTTCTATAAGATTATGGAAATGATGGGATGACTTTTTGCATTTTTTCGATCAAACTCATTCTATGAAAAGAAAGAGTAGTTCAAGCATGCCTTCAACATATGGATTTATTTCTCTAATACTAATAACTATATCAATAACAATATATGCAAAAAATTATAGTGCAGTGCAACGAAACCGAATAAAAATAACAAAACGTTATCGAAATCATATATTAACACGACCATCAATGAACAATCTTAGTCAAACAACAGTTGCTGTTGGTTTAGGAATAATTGAAGTAGCAGGTATTGATCCACAAAAACAGGTTTGTATTATGATTTAGATAAGTTCCACCCTCCTTTTTTTAAAGATATGTCGCATAAATAAATGAAGACAAAATTTGTTTTTATCTTTAAATTAAGGTTATTACATTAAATGTTAATTTTGAATACAAATGGTGTGATGAACTTTTACAATGGAATATAAGTGAACAACCATGTATTAGACAAAATCGTTCAGAAATATTCTTTACTGCACAAGAAATCTGGACACCAGATATAATTGCAATAAATGGACCAGGACCACTAAGAAAAGAATCAAAACTTCAATATCCAATATCAGTTGTTTGTACAGGTCTTGCTTCATGGTCACATCAAGAAAAACTTGTTTCATTTTGTGAAATTGATGTATTAAATTTTCCATTTGATCGTCAATATTGTTCTATTCTACTTCAATCAACGATATATGATTCGAGTCAATTAAAATTAATTAGTTTGTATAATGTTGTACGTTTATATAATTATATCAATACGGAATGGGAAATTTCACATACAACCATTCAAGAATTTGATTTATATAATACAAATCATAAACGTAATTTTAGTACACTTCAAATTAAAATGGAACTTGTACGATTTTCACGTTTTTATGTATTAAAAATTATATTACCATTTTGTATTATATCATCACTTGCTGTATTTTCATTTTGTTTACCAACAGATAGTGGTGAAAAAATAGCACTTACTCTTAGTATTTTACTTTCATTAATTATTTATTTACAATTGATATCTACTTATGTTCCAAAAACAGAACGTGGTCTTTGTACATTAACATTGTATTCCAATGTAGTATTTCTTCTTGTTTTTCTTTCATGTATATTTAATACATTAACAATATTTATTTATTATCATGAACAATATTCTTATCAACATCAAATTCCAAAACGTAAAAAAAATATTTTAGTTACAGTACATAAATCATTAATTGAATTAAATAAACAACGTTGGTTATTTTTAAGAAAACGTCAAAATATTCATGAAGGTTTACCTGAAAATACAAATATGGATGCCATAGAATTATTACATGATATACAATATTTTCGACAATCACTAATGAATATGTTTATACGACGAAATTCAATAGTTACAACAACAGCATTATCATCATTTAATTTTCGTCATCCATTATTTTATTCAGAATCTCAAAGTAAATGGTCTGCTAAACAAATAGCTATATTAATTGATCATGTTTTATTTATCATTTATCTTATTTCTATGCCATTAACTATATTTATTTTATTTCAATCAACAAATCAATCTCGTTTAGCATCATTAGCAAAAACAAATAGTACAAATCAATTGCTTGATATACGTAAATCTTCTACACTGCCAATGGCACGTTTTCGTGGATGTTAACATTAATTTAATTCTCATTTTATTCAATGTCACTCTTTTTTTCTCTCTCTTTCTTTCTGTGCCTATGTGTGTACGCCTTTGAAATAAAAATGTAGTAATACAAGATACATATATAATTAGATATATACCATCGTAGAAAACACAAGAAATACACTATAAGGCGGTGATCATAGGACATAAGAAGAATAAAATAAAACACCACTATCAATATCAAGACTAACAATTGCTAAATTTCGTCTGACATACACGTACAATTCTGATGTACTCTTAATAGGCAAAATATTCATAGAATGTCACACACACATTGACATGATGGAGAATAATATCTATCAGACTAGAAACATCACTGTTTAGAAAAAGAATATGATGAAAAAAACAAAAAGGAAGAAAACAGATGTTTTAATATGGTGTGTGTTAGGTTTATCATAATTCGATTATCACAGTTTTCCCGACTTTTATTTTTTAAATAAACGCCATAAACTATTTTTACGTTCTTTTCGTGGTGCCATTAACATCGGAACTTGATTTTTATGTGTTATTGAAATCGTACATGGTGGTTGAAGCCAAGGTTCACCATCGATTTGCATCGGGAAACTTTTGCGAGTTCTAGATTTTTTTTAAATAAATTTATTAAATAAAACATATAATAACTTTTCTTTTTGTTGCTTTTTTACCTGATAACCACTGATGAACATTGACCAAGTCGTTTAGCACTTGATCGAACACCAGCATAAATAGAACCCGCATGAATAGCTGATTGTACACCAACAACTTCAATTAATTTGTCGCCAATATCTTTAGAAAAAACACAACAATTTTGCTTATTTTTTAATATTTAAATCAATTTACCTTGTAAAACAAATGCTATATCTGACGTTGAACTCGTAGAGTATTCACTTCAAATAATAAATATATATATATATATACATGATATTAATAATAAAAATTTCTTAAAAATTCAACATACGAATCTTTACGTTGTAATTTTAATGGAGTTTTACGATTTTTATGTCTATGTCCTTCACCCCATAAAGATATTCCACCGTAAATACTTGGAATATTTAATAATGCGATGCCTTCTAAAGATGGTCCATTTGATAAATCCAAAGAAACACCATCACACTAAATATATATTTTTATAATTAATAAATATTACTATATTTTATGTTTTTTCTATTTACCATTATATCAATATCTTCATGTAAATTTTTACATGTAGAAAAAATAGCTTCTGATGTACCAAATTCTAGATACCATAATCTATTTTTCATTCTATTGAAATAAAAAAAAAAACAAAATATAATTTAAATAAAATAGATTTTTAAATAAAAAATTTTCTTACCTGCTACTAAATTTTTCTGGATGTTTTTCACGCATTAAATGAAATCGATGAGCAATGGAAGCATCCTAAATATTCAAATGAAAAAAGAACAAAAATATATTATTATTTTTTTTGTTTAATTTAATCGAAATACTTACAACACCGATAGAAAAATAATTATTAATTATATTATATGGAATATCATCGCCTTTTTCGTCTGTATCTGTTCGTGTACTAAATTCAATTTGCCATCGATCGAGCATGATCACCGGTGCTAGTGAAATTTTTTTAAGTATTTTATTTAAACTTTCATTTTCATAACCACCACCCCATGCTAAACATCGAGCTAAATCATTTCCTGTGCCTAATGGTAGAACAGCAACTGGTGCTCGACGACGAAGTGGTACTCTATCCATAACATCAAGTACCCAACCAACTAGACAAAATAACAAAAAAATTATGTTTTTTTTGTTTTTTTGTTTCAAAAATAAAACTTATTATTTCATTTTTACCTGTACCATCACCACCACAACAAAGAACACGAAAATCTTCTAGATCTTTAAAAAATTGTAATCTATTTAAAACAAAAAAAAGAAAATAAATGTGATGATATTAAAGATTTTATTATGATGGAATTTACCCAGGCATTGGTCCAGTTTTTGTAAGATTAAAAACTTGACGAGGATTTAATAAAAATTGAAATTTTCGCATAATTCTGATATCAAAATAAATATATATTTCTTTTAAAAAAAAAGAATCTTAATTATAATCACCGTTCTCCTTGTTTACCACCCGATTTGGGATTAATAAAAATCAATAATGGATGTGTACTTGGTAATGGATTTATTTGAAATGATTGTATTGATCCTTCAACACATGATTCTTCTGGTTTAAGACCATTTCCAGTTCGTGGTATTTTTGGTCGTTCCTAAATTATATAAATATATTTAAATAGTTTGTTTTATTTTTCTTTCATTTTTATACCAAAACAGCTGGACAAATGCATGATGGTGGTATAATATGATCACGATTTGGACCTAATGTACATTCAGGTTTTAATTGTGACGCACATTTATTATGTAAAGTCATTTGACACCAACGACAATGAAGACCTGTTATACCATTATATGTTTTAATTGATTTTTTACATCGATCACATCTTTTTTTTTTTGTAAAATACAAAAATAAAACAAACAAAAAGAAATTTGTTTTTTGTTAAATACCTTCCAGGACAATTTCCTTCAATCCAATGATGTAACATAGTTGTATCAACTTTACGTGCTTTAGCATATGTCGATATACAATTAGATGGTGCTCGATTAGCACATCGTTCATGTACAACATATCGACAAACTAAAATAAATGAATTTATATATATATATTTGGTTTAATTAAAATTTAATAATAAAAAAAATATCAATTTACATGTACAACATAAACCTTGTTTTCCCAAGCCAACTAACATTGTTAAACAAAGATTACAATAAGCAGGTTTATTAAAATGTTTTAATCTCCACGAATGTGTTCCATCATCTTTCACATTCTATATTAAAACAAATAAATAAATAATAATCTTTTCGATTGTTTTGTTCTTTTTTTTTTTTTCTTAAGAAAAAAAACCAAAAATAAAATACATACTGAATCAAGTCCTAGTAAAACAAGTAGAGGTACGGTTGTTAATCCACCTCGTTTCCATTCTTCTAACGTAACAGCACCATCATTGTCATAATCGATTTCCTTCATCATCGCTTCGAGAATCTAATCAGAAATAAATTATAGATATATAGATATGTTTAACAATGATGAATTTTATTAAATATTACTGGTCGTAATTCTGATACATCCCAACCTAGATATTCAGCAACATTCATCATTTGATTAACGATTGAATCCGTTTCCTACATATATATATATAAAGTAATTTCATTATTTCATTTTTTTTTCTTAGAGATTTATTTTGAAACCTGTTTATCAAGTATTCCATTACTGTCCTCATCATACAACATGAACATAACTAAAAGAAAAAAAAGAAAAATAACATAATTACGGATAGAAATGATTGTCTTTTTCTTTCTTCGTTTTATTGATATTTACATTCAAGTTTTTGTTCTGGTGTACCACCTTCAAGTAATGAAAAATAACAAATAATATCCTTGAATTGAATTCGTGCTGTATGTATATCAATTTCTTGTTGTGATTGAATCATAGCAGCTTGTTGTGCATTTGAATGATGATGAGAATGAAATGGTAAATGATGATGATGATGGTGATGATGGTGATGATGATGATGAACATCACGTGTTGGATCATTACCAGATATTTTATTTAATAATTGTGATAGAGATGTACGAAATACCCAAGGATCATCAGCACTAGGAACAGCTGATATAGCTAAATTAATTTTTTTATTGTTTTTTTTTAACAGATTTTATATATATTTAAATAAATTTTTTTTTTCTTACCATTATTGTGTAATGAATGGATGGAATGAATAGAAGGATTAGATTTTCTTGATGATTGTCGAGAATTTTCTGGTGATTCAGGATGTTGATCATGTGAATTACCTCGATGCAAAAGACGTTCTTTTCCAGTACGACATACACCTATAAATTATATTTAATTGATGAAATAAATATTGCAAAAAAAAAATTTATTTGATTTTATTTTACCAGTTCGAGTTTTTGAATCATTTGATATACCTGTACCGGTATCATCATTAAAATTAGTAAGACCTCGTCGTGGTCGGAAAAATTTGTCAGGTAAAAATGAAAAACTTGGTAATTTATCGACAATTTCAAATGTACGATTTGATGTTATAGTTGATGCAATTGTTGTTGATGTTGATGATGGACAAGTTGATATAGTTGTTACTGTAGTTGGTGGTATTGCTGCAGTAACAATAGGAAGAACACCAATGGTCGATGATGTATCGGTCGATATGATAACAGCAGGTTTTTTGATGAATGATAAAAATAAGTGTCGACATAGATCTTCTGGTATATCAGAATTGTCAAAGAGTAATTCAAGAAATTGTCGAAAACCTTGATAATCAAGTTGCTAATTGAAAACAAACAATAAAACAAAATATTTCTAATTAACAACAAGAAAACAAGACTACTATACCTCATCATATCTATGAGCTAGCCAGGTGGAATCTTGTTGAAGAATGGCAACAACATCTTTTACTTTCTTGGGTGCATCTTAATAGATAAATAAAAAAGATATTTATACTCATTTTAAACATATTAATAGATGATAGTTGAAAGTATGGTTTGTCATCGTTTGAAAATATACATATTGAATAATAAAGAATGTTGTGTATTAATAACTTACATGAAATATATTCTTGTAGACGTTCGAATTCGTCGGGTGAAAGTTTATTCCAATCAAATCGATTCATGGATGATCGGCGGCCAAATGCCTGTCATAGCTCGCTCGATTATCGAAAACTTGACATTTTATTTATTCAACACACCAGACTCCGTTGTTATTTTTATTATTGTAATAAATAAAAAATAAGATCTCTTTATTATTCAAGTCATCTAAAATCAGAAGAAGAAGAAGAAGAAGAAGAAGAAAAAATAGAAACAAAATTTGTACTTTAATTAATATATTAACATGTAGCTGCTCATGAATACATTCAAATAGAAATGTTTGAGATCGCCTTTCGTTTCTTGTCTCGTATTCTTTTTTTTGTCTAGATATGTGCAAATACAACTATTGTGCTACTGCTCATCTCTCTTTCTTGTTTCTCGTTTTCCTGTAACTGCTGTGTGGCAGCGTCATCGACTAATTTGATGCTCTACATGATTTTGTATGAGACATTACACGACAAGACTCTCGTTGAAAGTCACAGAGCATACAAAGACAAGAGAGCAAAAAGAAGAAGAAACAGAAGAAGAAGAAGAAGAAGAAAAAGAAAGGAGAAGAAAAACGAGAAGGAAAAGCCAGGAAGAAGGTAGGCAAAGAAATGAGTTTATCCCAAAGGAATAGCTTAGACACTCGTCTTTCATGTCCTTCAAATGTCAAAGTTTACTTGAAAAGGCCAAACGTTGAGTATGTTTTATATTCTTTATGTATATTTCTTCACCAATCTCATATGGAAACCATCTGGTTATTCGTTTCATGACATCAAACTGTATCTGGGTGTCGTCCAATAAATTGTTGTTGTTACTGCTATTGAGCAGAGATCATAACTTATGTATACTTTAATAATTAAATGAATATTGTAAAAAGTATATAAATAACTAAATCTTCGATTTGTACATAAGCTAACCAGGCAACAAATGCTTCCAAATGGTGTGCTTAATGATTACCAGTGATGAGATATATGTGTATAAATGATGATTATTCATTGCTTGATACCAAATGTGGAAATAAAAATATGTCTAGAATGATGTCAGTGTTGTCGAATATTCAATTCAATGATGAAAGTAATATAAGATAAGATAGCAAAAATTTAGTTTGTCTTTTTTATCTTTATTCTCAATGAATCGTCTTCATGTTTCCCTTCTGCGCATGTTGGTATGTGTGTTTCTCTGCATTCTCACACGCAGATATATATATATATATATATATTTCTTCATCAGATATTATGGCTCGAAAGGCAACAGTTTAATTAGAAGACACCCGACGCGTTAGAAAATAGAAATAACAAAAAAAAAGAAATAATAATGTGTTTGCAAAAAAAACTATCTATGGAATGATGATTATGACGGATATTGATTTAGTTCGTGAGTGACACACTCATCACATAGTTTCTTGACTTCTATTAATCGGTTATTTTTTGTTATTATCAGTTGATTTTTCAATATCTTGTCATCATCATACGTCTTCGAATACCATTTACATTTATTGATTATGCATCTTAACTACTATTTTTATTTATAATTACTGCTTTTTTTCTGCACCATACAACTACTGTCACATCGATATTCTATTAGCGTTCCATTCACAGTTATATACAAGCGCACAAAAGCGACTATTCATTCATTCATTCATTCATCGACTCATTCAGATTGCTACAGTCCAAAGATTTGCAAGACAATATTTTTTTTCTAATTTCCGGCTGTACCCATATACAACATGTTTCGTCTTCATTGGCCGGAATCATGCTGATGTCTGCACCTGTTTTCGGCTTTCAAACTGTTTCTTTTTTCATGTCGATTCTAAGACCCGTATATGATGCAATTACTTACGAAATATATGACTCAAAATAAAATAATTAACGAATAATAAAGAAAGAACAAAATTAAGCTAACTACCTGAAAAAATAAATAAAGAGTATCAATTTTGTACTCGAGCTTGAGATTATTTTGTGTTGTTGTTGTTGTTGTTGTTGTCGATTTTTGTTTTCAATACTATCAAGTGTGCATATTTTCTCTTTCTCTCTGTCTCTCTCTATTTCGCTTTTTCTTCTTTTCTCTCATGCGTGCCAATGTGTTTGTGTGTGCGTGTGTGTCTAGCAGTAACATAGCTCGAACACGATAATCACAATAATAATGAGGGATGTTGCTTGAGGCTCGAGAAGAACAGCCCAGTTGGACGTTGAATGGATAGAAAAGAAAATGTACCGTGTTGCTTCTTCTTCTTCGTTTCTTTTCATCATCGTGTTTTTTTGCTCTACTCTCTTTCCAGCACATACACATACACATATATATATCTATACAAAGGAAACTTCGACTTTTCCTGCCATTACTGCTGTTACAGCTATAACTGCTTTGAGTTTTTCTTATCGTTTCTTTACCGCTAGAAAGAAGAATAAGAATGAAAGAATGAGAAGCAAAGACATAGAGAAAGAAGATTTTGCCTTCTATAACTCTCTTTCTTTTTCCTTCTTTTCTTCTATGTTTTTGTTAGTGTTTCATGTGATCCTGATGACGACTGCTATTGTGGTGGCGTTAGTGTTAGTCTTAGTGATGGTGTTATTGGTAGTACTCTTCCACGCAAACAAAAAGCAAACGTGTTTCCTTTGGGGAAAAATATTCACATCAATGTTGAACTATTGTATCTGATTAGAAGAAGCATTTGAGAGCGATTTCTGTTTCTTTCTAATCACACCAATGAATTGGCTATCAAATACAAGAGTCTGTAATAAAAAAAATCTGGCACTCATGTATACTAACGGCATAAATCATTACTATCGTATATATACATGTCCTTAAATGTAGGTTATAGAGATGATTTATATCGAAAGGTTACAAATGATTTGTCAATTTTTTTCATTAATAAATCTTAATAATTAGCTCGTCGTAATAGAATAAATTGATTTATATCACTATCTGTTTAGTTTATATATAGGATACAAGAATATAAAAATAATCGAAATGATTTTGTTTATTAATAATTTGTACTTACGGATAGTAGAATTGAATGAGAAAAAAGAAACATATTAAAAAGAAAAAGAAGATAATAGAAAAATCACATAGAAAGATTTTTATTATATTCGTATATATATATATAATTGTATGTAAAGGAAAGAAGAGTGAGAAATTACAAACAATATTGAATTCTACTATTGACGTACTATTGACTCTCTAGAGTTCTCTTTCCTCCTACACTGCTATATATATATATAATAAGAGCTTAATTCATAAATATAATGTTCAATCTAGTGTAGATGAACTGATTCGTCGTTTTTTTGGTTATGAATTGATTTTTTTTGCTTCAGAAGTAGATAGAATTACTTGCCCTGTCGATGCAAAGATGATGATTTTGATGGTGTATAGTCAAGAAAAAGAGAAAGACAGAGAGGAAATCATCAATCATTATTAATTTACTTGAGATTCTATGCTTTTGCACTCTCTTATACATGCTCATTCTTTACTATTCACATAAACATGAGTAGTAACAGTGATTATTCAATTCAATTGATTCAATTTATGTGTAAATATCATCTTCTCTTTTTCTCTAAACTCTTTTTTCGAAACTGATTTCACCCTTAAGCTATTCAATAGCAATGATAATAATAATAATAATAATCATAATAATAACAATAACGACAAAACATTTCAATCGTAATATAGTCTAAAAGAATATCGTAGGCTTCACTAAACAAGTGACAGGAGACATGATAAGCTAGTATTTGAGATAGTCCATTATCTAATTTTCTGCTTCATTCACCATTGATTGACTCGTGTATATATGAACGGAATATTCTAACACAATCCTCCCACTCACTCAACACTTCGTTTGATAGAAATAAAGAAAAAGAAAAGACGTTCCATTTCCAGTTTCTATATGTGTATCTATAGAGATATGCATCTATGTAACTATTTGCCGACAGAAATCTCATCAGTGAAAAAAAATGATACTTTTAACCAAATGTACTATAAATAAATATGTATGTTCGACATTCTCATCAAATATAGATAGTTACATTACGTTATCCTTGACCGGAACATATACACAAATGGTTGAATTCTATAATCATGTTAATATTTATTAGAATATCAAAATTTTTTTTTTCTTTATATTATTTTTGTTAATAAATATGCAAAAAAAAAATCATATTAGACACATTCACATTACAAGAAATAAAGAAAGATATGCCGTTGTAAAGGAGGGTGGAAGTCAACAGATATCACCGAAAACCAGAAGAACAAGAAAAAAAGAAGAAGAAAGATAAACAAGGATGAATTAAATTATACACACACATAAGTTTTCTTTTTTTTTTTATCATATATTAATCAAACAATTAACACAATAATATATTAATAATAATAATTAGGGATATGCGTGTGCGAGAATGATTATAATCTGACAGAGGAGAATAGTATTATATGTTTGTGTGTGAGTGTGTGTCTATAATTCAATAATAATTAATGATCATGAAGTAAATATTTTGAAAAAGAAAGAATATGTTCGTGCTTAGAACGACTAGAGATCGTTTAAAGGAAATAAATAACAAAATGAATTTGAAAAAAAAAAAAAGAGCTTAATTCGTTTTTTCTATTAGTCGTCGAAGTTTATCACGACGAACAAAAACACCATGTTTATCTGGACATTGAAAATAAACATGTCCACCAAATGAACCATTATTTTTTCCTAAAAAAAAAATCAAAACATTAAAATCAAAACAAAAATAAAGAAAAGAAAACACTATTATTTACCAACTTGTTCTTCAAGTTCAATTCCATACCAAGTTCCTTCTTTGAAATAAGTTTTTCCAACAAAACGAATAAAACCAACTTTATTAAATATATGATGATCAGTATTAACAATAACACGACAACCAATTGGATATTCATCATCATTAATATCAACAATTTTTTTTATTATTGGTTCTCTTATTTGATCATTATTTGATGTTGATGATTCAATACGTAGAGGAGTTGTTGTTGTTGTTGTTGGTATAGAATATTTTTCTTCAAGTGTACTTATAGATAATAATGCTTGATC